GTTATTTTCTGTGTCTATTTGTTGCTAGTCTTTCATCAGTTACTACCATTCAGTTAACGCTGGGTGCAACTGCAGAAGAGCTTCCTAGAGCGTACATGCCTTTGTTCGGTGGTGTGGCATTTTTATTCCTCCTGAGTTCCTGTGTTTTAGATTTACGAGGAGGATGATGTGAGAAGCGGGAATGTAATCTGAGTGTTGAGCCATTCCGTATTTCTTCTATTTAATATCTGGTCTCAGCATGTGAAAACTCTGAAGCCAAATTATTCCATCTGTGGTATTGGCAGTAGAGCCGAATGGGGTCCTTTTTCGTGAGGTGGATTATGTGGCTGTGAAAGGCAGCTTTGAGGACCACAGCAATGCCAGGTGGAAACAATTTGGCTTAATTAAGGGCTTCTGAGCTGAAAACTGGCAACCCAAATGCACGCTTCGTTGCCTGGGGGGGGTAGGTGCTTCTCTGGGATCCCGCCTGGTGCATGAAAAGGGAGTTGAATGATAAGAGGAGAGCTGTTTGCCTGGCACTTTGTATGTTGATTTGAAATTCCGTTGCAGCGGGCTAATTGCTAATAAAAATAAATAAATGGATCTCCGCATTCAGAAGCTTCTTTTAGTGGGTTTTGGAAGAGAATCGTCAGGAATGTGGCACCTTTCTGATCCCAGTTTGGCGCTTCAAGCGTTTGGATGTTGCATTACACTGAAAGATGGGATGTATCTGTGGTTCTTTTGCTTAATTAACAGGGCTTTGATGGCAGTATTTGGGGAGTACAGCTGAGTAATAAGACAATGATATGTAATTAAGGTTTGCTGTTCTACCAGAGGAAATTTAAACCTACACTTCACGAATAGAGATTTAAGAGGTGGTTAATTAGCTGAAATGGCTTCTCTTGGAAGGTAATACAATCGGTTGGAAAGCTAGTTAATTAAACAAATAATTAAAGGGTAGGGAGGTATTCTTTTAATGATAACAACACATTTCATACTTCCAGAAGCATATTTTTATTTAAAAAGCATCTTACTTGTTATATGGCAAGCCAATGCAAATTCTGAAAATAATTAAAATGTATCAAAAGTGGAAGCTGAAAAAGAGATTTTTTTTTTCTTACGCATTAGCAAATCTAGAAAAAATATTTAAAGTATTATAGTGCAGAGTCTCAAAGAATTGCCAAGCTTTTTCCCCCCCGTAAGAATAATCTCTGCCTAATAACTGAGGCCCAAAAATTCTAGTTTTAACCCCAGTTTCACTGGCTTTCCTCATGGGATTTATACTTATATTTATTCCGCTTTCTGTCTTGAATAGTTCAGTTTCTTTGTACTTGTATTGTTTATGATGATAAGATAAGCACATCAGCAGAGGAGTGATACCAAAAGCTGTAATGTGGACAGGATTCATGCATACATCAGAGCAATTGTGTCAGACATTTTGAAGAATGAAAAACAGCTTTCCATCGGCTAGATCTGCGTTATCCTGGAGTTTTCCTTCATGCTAGAAACCAATTTCTGCACAAGGTTATAGGCTATTTTCTGTAGAACTTACTGATCTGCATATTTCATGCAGGAGAACAATAAAATAAATAGTCCCAGATTATGTCTTGGGTTTTCTTCTCACAGAATTACTTTGATTTATTAAAGTTAATAATTCTGAAAAGGAGGAATACCGCACAGAAGTATTTGTTTCCCAAAATGCTTGCATGTATATATGCAAAATAAGAATGAAAGAACAATATCCTGCGGGGGAAAAAAACCTGGCCTAATACTGATCTTCCTTTTTTTTTTTCTCTTTCTCCTTCCCTACCGTCCTTCAACCAATACGCAGATTTTAGATGCAAGTTTACCAGTACCTGACGTTAAGGAAGACGCTTCGGAGCGTGATGCCCCACCGCAGGAGCCGCAGCAGCCGGGAGCTGTTACAGCACCTCAGGAGCTGGACGGGCAGCAGCCGGAGGCGGCTTCGCCCCACCAAGAACCACCCGGAGAGCAAGCAGAGGCTGCTGGAACAAATGGTAAGTAAAAACCTGTGTTCAGTGGACAGAGCCTAGAGGCCTGGGTGCTAAATGGAGTGAGAAGTTGAAATGGGGCTCACCTAGCTGTCTCCTAGCGAACAGGTCGTTATTCAAGTGGTCTCTTGGTTGCTCAAGTGCTTCTTCTAGGGTGTCGTTTTGCTGGGACGTGTTTTCTCTATAGCAGAGGTCCAATGACAAATGGGTTGTGGAGTGAAGCTGCCAGCGTCGGTGGTGGGGGATGCTACCCATTCCCCCTTAGGGTGGTCCTCCGCTCTCAGCGCACCCTGCGGTCGCCCTGCTTGCCTGCTGTCAGTCTCTCGACCGTTCACCCCAAGGAACAGCCCAGTTTCTGCTTCTTATGTTAGGAGTTTCTGCTGCGTAGGCCTGTCCCTTCCTTCATAGGGCAGAAATCCTTTTATGTTCATTCATTAGTGATATTAATGACAATAGACATATTTTGAACTCACAGGAAGGGACAGGCCACTGACCTGTTGGCTCTACCTTGATTAAAGTTCCCTTTCCTACTGCTTTTATTCCAGTTTGCATTTTGACCACAAAACCTTCCTCATCGTAGGCACCCCTGTCTGCTCTGCCCTGGGAATCTCTTTCTTGCCTTGCGGCACAGTCAGAAACGTGCTGCTCTTTCTGCTCTGCAAACTGGCAGCCCACCTCTCCCACCCTCGTCAGCCTCTTGTTGCTGTCCCCTTCCCTCCGCTCCCCTTCGCAGCCGCGCGGTGGGAGATCGCTTCGGCCATCACCCGGCACGCTGACCTTTTTGGCAGGGGTGGCAAGGGGGAGGGAGTCGGAGCAGGCGACTGATGCTGGTGTGAGAGAGCAGGGGAGGGATGGGGAAAGGGTAGGATGGAGCACGTTCTTCAGTGCCAGCCTGTAGAGCAGCTTAAGGCATTTGTGTAGCCCTTGGTGTACTTTGGGCTTTGAATTCTAGTAAAGGCAGTTCTTTGCCACGTCTTCAGATTAATTGCCGTAACGCTGTTATCCCCATAGAAGGTTGCCGTATTTTATGCTGAGCTTTTGTGCTTTTTTTTTTTTTTAATCATATTGGTAGAGGCTTTTGACACTGTAAAAATGGGATGCAACATGTTTTATCTTTCACTCATGATAAACACTGCTGCTTTTTAAAATTTTACTCTCAAGTGGATAGGGGCGGAGAGAGGATACTCATTAAACAGAGTCATGAAGGAAGAGGAAATACCTGATGATTTGAAGTAGTGTCAGAAGATTTCATGTTGGTATTCAGCTTCCGGATCAAGTAACAGAGGAGGCCTTTAAAGGGCATGAATTTCAAGTTGATAGTCAAAGATTATAGTTCTTGCTGAATAATTCTGGGTTGTAGCTTCAGCTGTACAGAAATTGCGTTCCCAGGATGTGTCATGAAGAAGAGGTGAGAAGCTCCCTTTGAATGCAGATAGTTACATGTGACCAAATGCATGGTGTGTTGTGGACGTAGTTAGGGTTAGGAAATTGTATGCGAGTAGACTGCCTGAAAAGTCTTTGCTTTCTTTGATAGTCATCTCTCATGTGGTTGTGTGATGTTGTTGTTTTAATCGGGATTTATTTTATGGTTGTCAGTGGAACCAAGCCTATGTGGTAGCATAATTTATGCAAAAGGAAAAATAATTCTACGGGTTTGCTCTCAAAGTAAAAAAGCCCTTTATGGAGGCAATGCAACGTGTATTTTCTGGTAACAATAGCTGAAAATGACATCATCCATAGAGACAGATAAAACCTGACTGGTCAAGCATTGAAAAGATAGCTCTTCAAGTGAAGACTGCATTCAGACATTCATAACTGTTTATATCCACCCTTCTGGACCTTACAGAGTCTGGTCCACGTGCCTTTAGGCAGATGAATAAGGGTGGGGAAGAGGTATCTCTTAAATGCTCCATGCAGAGGAATCTCTCCACATAGAGAAATATATCATTTTAGCTCTACACTTTTTCACATTCCCCACTCATTCTTTATTTCATCTTGTTTGCAAAGTCTATAAAATCAGAAATAAAGCATCATGATGCTGAGCACTGAGGCCAGCACGGGTAATTGCCTACAGTAAAGGAATGTTTATCACTGAAGGTTTTTTGGGTCGGTTGGTTTGTTCTTGTTGTCATTATTTGAATCTTGCTTTCAGAAGACCATGTGAGACATGATCCAGACTTGTCAAAGTTGCCACTATCAGATTGAATTAACTGGGAAGTCTGGTAAATTAACTGGGAAGTTGGTGCTGGCAATCAGAGCCACAGACAAAGGCTGTGAAGGGCTGGCCCAGGTATCTGTGTATCTTCAGCACTTTGGAGATACCCAACATAATCCACAGAAGTATCGTTGCTATAACGGGAGGTCACCTATGTCAGATACTGATCCTTTACATTTTATTTTGTCATACTGTGTCCCTTTTTACTAGCAGTAAGAGCTGCTGGAGCATTACATCACTACACCGCAGGTATTGAGAGCGATACCCTTCTGAAACCCTGGACAGCAGAAGTTGGGACAATTTGTAATTGTAGCGTTGTAGAGAATTCCAGTTCAAACCCCCCAGCCCCTAAGTGGCTGTTAATAGGCAAAGGAGCGAATGTTTCAGTATGGAGAAACAGAAGTGTTTCAGATGGGGTTTTTGCTGTTGTTTATGAGGGGTAAGCTACTTGGGGCTTTTAGCCGGCCTCTGTTGAGGTTTGGGCTGGACACCGTGTGCCCAACGCCTGGGAAGGCGTTACAGAAGCGGGACGGGAGCGGGGAGCGCGGCCGCTCCGTGCTGCAGAGCCGCAGCCTCCTCTGTCCGGGGCGGGGGCGGGGGGGGAACCCCATAAATACTTGCAGCGAAAGTTTCAAGACGGGTACGTCGAGGCG